TAAAGATTATAAAATACGCACCTCAAAATACCCAAAAACACACGAAAAATTTCCCTTCTTTCCTTTCTTCTTCTTCCTCACCCACCTCCTTTTTTTTTCTTCCTTTCTTCTCTCTCTCCTCCTCCCCTTATCTTCCCCTTTTCCCCTCCCCCTTCCCTTCTCCCCCTCTCCTCCCCTCTTCCCTGCCACCTCCTGCCCCCTCCCCCTCCCTCTCGCTCCCTCTCCCTCTCCTCAGCATGACCCTGGTCGCATGACCTGGTTGCGCGACCAGGGTCGCCCGGCTGGCAGTGGGGAGGGAGGGAGAAGAAGATCAATGGTGTGGGGGAGAAGATGAGGAGAAAAAAGAAAAGGGAAAAAAAGGAAAATTTTTTGTTTGGTTAAAAAGGAAAGTTTTTACACACCTCAAAAAGTTTTTCTACAAATTCTACGGTAAAGTTTTATACAAACACCTAAAAACTCACTTGCCAAAAGTGGCCATAATAAATTCTCCTTCTCTCAAACTGAAGGACTTATCAAATCGTGGGAAATGACATGATAGTTCAAAGTGGCAATGTAAGATAAAAAGGAAAATCAGGAGAAAAATGCATTTGACTGAACTTTTTACTGAATAGTTTGTCTACTGGGATAATAGAAGTTTCTCTAAATCTGTATCCATATAGTTTCACAAATCACGTTATTAGTTCCTGTGTGAACCTCTTAGCAAGTGGATTTTTTCTTCTTTTACAGCTAAATCAATTGATTGATTTAGTTCTTTCATAAACTATGATTTTTGAACTATCTGGGAGACACCAATCAAGTGATCTCTAAGCTGCTCTATGTATACATAATGTAGTTTTACTACACCTGAAGCTAGCTTCTTGGTTATGCTTTATTTGGTTTGGTCTTAGCTATTATAATGTATGTGCTTATTGTTATTGGAATGCACCCATCAGAAAGGAGGAACTGATCTCCTAGTTATCAAGACAAGTCAAATTGGACTATTGTTAACCATGTAAAGTTCAAATGTGATCCTTCTCATTTTTATGGAGGAGAGCATTTAAAATTTTCATCTCTCCCTTACTCCATTTCTTTGAGGGTTTGCTTGATAGGAGAGATGGGGTGCACCTGGGGTAGGAGATCATGTTATAAAGAGGCTTGTAATAGTTTTAGTTGCTTAACCTAACTGATGGTTCACTAGTTTCGATGCACATTTCCTGTGTTACATTGTAGAGTTGGCATGGAGAAGTGCTATGAAGCCTTGATCACTCCATTGTATTTCGGTTGAGCAACTATGTAATTGGTTGCATATTGCAGGTAGACACTTAGGCTTTAGAAAAAGACAAAAATATACTCTTCTTTAAAAGATTCTCTGATTATTTGGAGAAAAAGTAGTATGACTCCAGATTAGTATCACTACCAACGTACAATAAGTTAGAAGGCCACTGCTTCTAAGTCGAGAATAGTTTCACTATTTATTTTGGACACAAACGGGAGATTTTTCCTTGGTGTAATTGCTTCAAACTTATCAGAGTAATAAATGGTTTGAAGCATTTGGTCTCTTCCTGCTTACTTTTTTTCTTTTTTCTGTTTCATGGGTTGAAGGGAGCTTATTTCTGTCTTCTGTTTTTAATTTTTAATTGCAGCCTGAACAATTGAACAAGATCTTTGAACTCTGTGGCACCCCTGATGAGATTAATTGGCCTGGTGTTTCCAAGATTCCCTGGTATAACAAGTTCAAACCAGCAAGGCCAATGAAGAGGCGAATTAAGGAGGTCTTTAGACAGTTAAGGAAACAGTTTTATAATTTTCTGACTATTACTATTTTAAATTGCAGTGCATGTTTGACATTTTGCTTGTGCAGTTTTGACTCCCATGCTTTGGAGCTACTGGATAAGATGCTGTGTCTTGATCCTTCCAAGGTATCTCTCCCAAATGATATGTTTGATTTAGGAAGTGGAATAAAAAATAATTAACTGTTTAGCTTTTGTAACACTAGTTGCAGTAATAGTTCCAATCGTTTTTCTAGGACAATGAATCTTGCTTGTGAGAGATAGCATAGTGCAGCACTAGTGCTCAAAAAACCTTACAAAAAAAGGACTGCAAACCTCACGAATAGCATTTTTGGCAGTTCCTTTGCCCAAAAATCATTTCTAAAAAGTTTGAGCGTTTGTGGATGGACATTAACTCACTGGCATTTGCATGTTGAAATATGGGTGTCTTTTGTAAATCTTCTTGTGTTTCCTAGAGCTGATTCTTAAATTATTCTGCTTAGCTGTGCTAATGTATTTTCTCTTTAACTTGTACTGTTCTTTGACGTTACTTCTGCCTGAACTTTTTTAGAGAATATCAGCACAGGAGGCACTGGTTGCTGAGTATTTCTTTGTGGACCCGCGGCCATGTGATCCAAGGAGGTATGTCCTATGAACTGTCACATAAAGTTAGCAATATAACCATTTGAAAACACCCATTAGCCAAATAAAGCCTTTTGAGATCCGGTTGTTTGCATGCTACAGTTTGAGGATCATATGCATTGTTTATTCTAAACTGAAACACATTTTGCTCAAAAATAGGAAGACAGGAAGTAGAAAGTAAATTGGGTAGTAATGGTGCATTATACTTATTTGATCAGGGAAGAGGAGTCAAAGGGGTTATGCAAGCTATCTGCCCTACCTTTTCCTCTTCTTCCTGCCTCTGAAGATTTTGGAAGATGAAGAGTGAGTGGACCCTTGTCATTTTATGAATTAAGAAATATAAAGTACTAGTAAAAATAGGGGTTACAGCATGAAGGTGAAAATTTTTTAATCTCCTAACTTAGTATTGCACCCTGCTTTCTTCTCCTTGGGAGTCAATTCCACTGACCAAACATAAATGGGTAGATATATATTGTTTCAATGTGAAACACACTTGTTTCCAACCACCTTCTTGCCAGAATTAATTATATCTATGTGGTCTCATGCTAGTTTCAAAGAAACTTCTTGGTGATTACAGTATCCAATTCCAATAGATTTCCATCCTTAGTCATGTGAAAAGCTGTTTTCATCTCTTCATTGCAGTTTGCCAAAGTATGAATCCTCACATGAGTTCCAGACAAAGAAGAAAAGACAACAGCAACGACAAAATGAAGAAATGGCCAAAAGACAGAAGGTGCAACACCCACATCAACATGCTCGCCTGCCTCCTATCCAACAATCTGGGCAAGCAAATCCTCAACATTGGGCTGGACCAAATCATCCTATGAATCCATCCCAACCGCCACTATCATCAGGACCCAGTCATCATCAGTATGGGAAGCAGCATGGTCCTCCGGGAGGCCCTAGTCGATACCCTCCTGGCGGAAACCCTAGCAGTGGCTTTTATCCAGATCGTGGGAGCCAAGGAGGAAGTTATGGCAGCGGTGCATATCCAGCCCAGGGAAGAGGACCACCGTACCCTGGAAGCAGTTTGCCTCCGGCTGCTCAACGAGGAGCTGCCAGTGGATATGGTGCTCCTCCTAATTACTCCCAAAGTAATCAGTATGGAGGCTCTGGTGCTGGCAGACCCAATTCCATGGCTGGTAACCGGAACCAGCAGTATGGTTGGCAGCAATAGAGTTGTAGATCAAAGTAGGAGCTAGATATCAGGGAGTCAGTAGAGTTGCCAGCAAAGGTAAAGATTGCACATGACTGCAGCCACAGGTTTCTCATAAGAGGTATGGCTGATTAAGTCAAGATCCTGTACAGTACAGATGCTGTTTCATTGACAGTTAATTTTTTTTTTTTATTGAAACTGGTTGAAGGATTCTCTTCATCAATCAAAGGTACAAAATTTTGTTGGTTAGACATTTTGGAGTATGATTTTTCCTTTGGAATAACAGATGAAGCCCTTTTTTAATTTTTTTTAAATTTTTTTTTTTTAAATTTTTGTCTAGATGTTCTTGTGTTTTTCACTTAAAGAATCAAATCATAACCATCTTTAATGTTATGATTTGCTTACATCTCATTCCTACATGGGATTCCTCCACATTGGGAGTTCTGTCATGTTCCTCCTCCAATTTGTTTGGAAAGCAATTATGTCTGCAAGTTATAAAGAAGTCGTACATCCTCTTTGTAAAACTAGTATGGAAACCTTAAAAGCTAGTAAAAGAGAAAAGGAAAAAGGAAAGCAGAAATCGAGCAGGAAAAGGACAGGCTGAAAGGAGTTCTAGTGTACTACTAATCCTAGAATTAGGAACAATAAATGAATGATGAAGCTGATCTTGCAGGATTCGGTGAACCCTTTTTATGCGACTAATGCTGTTACTTTTTATACAGTTTGGATGACAAAAAACTAACAAAACAAATAAGAAATCAGAAATGAATTAATAGGTTTGTTATATCCTTTCTATTGATACAAAATGAACATAAGTTTTTCTTCTTTTTTTTTTTTTGTTTTGGGGGTTAATCTGAGCTTATCCAGTGTTTGACTTGATTTAGTGTATGATCATGTTTTCACTAAAAAATATATTTCAGTTTACGAATAATACTTCATAAAACTGCATGTTGTTTTACAAATAAATGATGGTTTCAAACAAAAACACACACACACACACACGCACGCACAAATGCTACCACATTTCCTGATTAATTTGTAGGACTCTCACATTCTAACTGCATGTTGTGCTTGATGCCACTTTTATGTTTTCATTGCTCTCGCATTCTATTCTTGCCCTCGTACTTTTCACTTTTTTTTTGCTTTATAGAAGCTACTTTCTCAGCTTTATCAACGTCTTTAATTTTTTTCTTGCAAAGAGCAGTAAGTTGCATTAGAACTGACGCCAAACAATTGGTCTGATATGGTATACTGGATATTGTTTTTCTTTCTTTCTTATATTCTCCCGACTGCTTATCACAAGTATTCTTTCATCAAATTAATGATTGTTGCTTAAGAGAACGAGATACACTTCAGTTTCGAGAAATTAACACAAAAATCTCAAGACACCAATGAATTTCCTTTCCTTCTTTGGTAGTCGCATTAGGATCAGAAGATGATCATGGAGAAGATTCTTAACGACAATAGACATTAAGGCATGGTATAACTCCTGAATTTACCAGGAAGTGAAAGACAGGTAATACAGGTCATTTTAGCTCCAGGATGCATCATTCAGTCTAGTGAAATCCAAATCTTCAGCCAAAAATGCACAATGTCCACTAACACAAATGAGGAAGATAGCATCCCTCTTTTTTCCCACCTTGACAAATGTAAAATGAAAGATACAAAGGCAGACAAATGAAAACGCCCCTGTAGCTGTGTGTTTGATAGAAGTGTATAAATTTGGAAGTCTTTCCTCCACCTAACTAATAAGAGCACAAGAAGTATCATGATCCAGGGCCTTTATGAAAGATATGGGCTCTAGCCAGCAATCAGCATCAACTTCCGCAAGATTATTATTAGGAGGATTAACTTTTACGTTTACTCCACCTCGAGAACTATCTTCATGAACTCATAAACAAAATAGCTTATCGCTGCTGATGGCAGAACCTGAACGTTAAAGACATAAACTACATCTATCAGCCAGTCAATAAGCAGAACCAGTAGATTACAATTCCAAGACAGACAGAGGCATATGCATAAGATACCTAATCATAGCGAAATAACAGATCAAGCTCAAAATCAACTATTTTTACAAGTGGATGGAAGCCAAGCAACAGCTGTGTAAAAACTACAAGTAATTGATAGATTACCTGGGTGTTTCAAAAGTCAAGCACAATCAAGTTGGGGAATCAACTTGACTGCATGGATGATGCACTGCCTCAGTTTATCAACATTCAATCAGAAAATCTAGAATCTTCCTGTGCAGTTTAACAATAGCAAACTATTTGATTACATTCATCCGGGTATTACTATTCTATATATTTGTGAAGTATGCAACGATCCTAATGCCTCATTTAGCATGGGATTAAAACTCCGCAATTTGCTTAATGGTTTAAATTAACCATGAAAAATGACCACATTCAGTTGGGAACAAAAATAAACTCTTGAACCTACTATAGCCACTAACTTTTACGTGCATCTTAACATCAATCTTTATCATCTACATTACATATTTGTAATACTGCCTAAACAGTAGAATTGAAGCAAGAAGTACAACAGTTACCTGTAGCAAGCTAGGAATCAGCCCCGCATAAAGTGCAGGAATACCACCTTGCTCTACTATCTTCATGCAAGTTCCCAAAGCACTCATTTTTGTAGCTCGAACTTGCATCTGAAGCTGTCTTCTAACTACTTCAAAAGGGTATGTAGCAGCTTCAGAACAAGCACCAGCAATCGCCCCATATATTAGTGTCCTCACAGGACCCAACTCCAGTTGTTCTAAAGCATTCAATTCTTCACCTTGTTGTTTCATATGTTGAAGCCGTTTCCGACCTTCTGGTGAATGCAGATAAGCAGATTTTAATATGTCATAAACTCCATAGAAAACAGCGCCTGAAGGAGCCATGCTTACGATGGATGGAAGTAATCCCTTGTAAAGAGAAAAAAACCCCTCAGTCTGGACCATGTGACGAAAAGCACCAATTACACCGCCCAAGGCTTCCCCTCCAGGAGCTACCATTACAGTCCTGATCTGTGAAAGAGAAGAACATTGAATCATGTGCAGAGAGTGGCATAAATTGGAGAAAAGCTATTAGAAGTACTTTTGCTGCTTAGCATAAGTGCCATAATCAAATTATAATAGCCACGTAGGAAGAATTCAGACTTTGGCTACCACATGGAAATTGTTTACATGGTAGATATCGTTTAAGGCCCCAATTACTGCCTCTAAATATCTACAACTCATAACCACAGCAGTGAAGTATGTCCAGATAAGAGTCGATACAGAATTCGGACCTTGAGGTATGCCTGCTGAAATTACTAGTCTAATGTCTTCATGTTCACAGCACTAGTTGGTGTTAACAGAGGGATAACATTACTTTCATTTTGATACGTACAGCAAATTCCCAGAATGCTAAAATGCAACTTACAGTGTCCATAGGTATGCAGAGCACAGTAGCAGTGATTCCAGCAGCAGCACCAGCAACAAACCTTTCAAAATGTGTTGTCTCCTCATTACCAGACATTCTAAGCAACTGATTTCTGTAAGTATCATAAGCATAAAAGTTGACAGCCTTAAAGGGAGCTGTCCGCAAGATGTTAACAAAATTTCCTTTCCAGAATCCTTTCAGCCCTTGAGTGGCAGCAATAGTTTTGATCAGCTCAAATAGATTTTTCTGTTCACCACGAACTATGTATTCCAGCTTTAGTCTCTCAAGTGGTGCCACAAAAGTTCTGATATATCAGAGCAGAAGAGCAAAGAAATGAATTCATAACTAGGTAAACGAATGATCCACTAAACTAAAAAGGACAAAATACATGAAGGGCTACAGAATGATTCAAAAGAAAGGGCTGCTTGGTGACAACTCGCTTATGGTTCTACGGAAATTTCAAAGAGTTGAGTACCTAAGACTAAGAGCTCACTTTACAGACCTTTCACAATATCAGACTGGAATAACATGGACAAGAAAGCAGAGAGGAGAAAAGGCTTGAAATCTAAACTAGGTGTTCAACTTGAACCGGTGCGAGACTTGGTAGCTTTCAGATCCTAGGAGAACTCCACCAATAATGCCATGGTCAAATTTATGCATAATAACTATAATCCTAGATTGTTGAAACTTCACATTTGGGTCATCCAAACTAATCTTTGGACACACAACTAACAAAGTTCAAGGATTTGAATTTTATACATGTATCTGGCCAATGATATAAGTTCATTAAGCTATGTCAAACAGAACAGCATCTGTTTAAAAGTCGCAAACTTTATGCTGTCAAACAGACGCAACAGAGCCAATCAAATGCTAAACTACTTAAAACTGATCATGAATCAATGCCAAATTAACTAGCAGACAATTTAACCGAGAGTGCGCACTAGGTAAATCCAGCCTCGTGCAATAGCCCGCCAACCACACCGAGGGGTAAGACGCACTAGGTAAGCCCTGTGCGACGGGCGGATGTTCCAAGAGACGTTTGAACCTGGGTTGGCAGAAAGATGACACCAACTCTACCATCTCGGCCAATTAACCCCTTTTATCCTTAAATCCTTCGTAAAACAATACCCACACAAAAATGTAGAAGATAATATACATATTACAGCAAAAAAAATTGCATTCTTTATTGGTTCAACAGAAAATTGCATCAAATTCAATCACAATCAATTCAAAGAAAATTTATAGCTGCAATGTGAACAATTAATAAAAGAAAAGTGACAGAATTTACGGAGTCCAGCATTTGAGCTAAGCCGTATGGGAAAAAATTCAGAATTGTAAATCTATACCCTGTAACAGAAAAAGAGAAAGGATGGGGGAAGAAAAAGTTCACCTAGAAACCATAGCAGCCACAGCACCAGCCCAAAGATGCTTAACAGTATTCAAAGCCTTTCCTTTTACTTCTCTCACCTTAGATTCGCCTTCTTTTTTCTTCTCACCTTCTTCAAACGCCGGCGTTTCACACTCCACACTCTTGCCTGCATCTTGCAACAACACCTCACCAATCCCTTCTCCACCTTCACCTCCCTTTACAGTCGAAAGCGTCACTGACAAAAACCTCCCGCTTCCGCTGCCGCCACAAGCAACGATCCCTCTCCGGCGACTCCTCCTCCTACTCCTCCTATCACCACTACATGAAACTCCGACCAGACTAAGAGAATTCGACGAATTGTTCGGATTCACTAATGAAACAAATGATGACGGAATCGAAGGTTCCAAAAATAATCCTCCACCGATAAAACCATTCAAATGCAGCGAAAAATCGTGGGCTTCAGCTAAATACTGTACTTGTTTTGATTCTAATGAGTTCGCTACTAAATTCTTGAGCCAAACTTCCAAATTAGTCATTCCCCAAGAAGAAAAAGCTAAAAAAAAAAACTGTATCTTTCTATACCTTTTCTTTCTTTATTATCTTGAATATCAAATGGGAGTTCAGGAAATGTTATCTGGGGTTAAAATCTAGCCGGGTTTATGTTGGGTGACTAGAATCCACAAGGGATGGGAAATAAAAAATAATAATAATTAAAAACTGTATCTTTCTTTATCTTTTCTTTGTTTATTTTCTTGAATATCAAATAGGACTTCAAGAAATGGTATCTGAGGTGAAAATCTAGCTGGGTTTTGTGAGTTGGGTGACTAGTATTTATGAGGGACGGATTGAGGCTTGAAGGAGAAGAGAGGAATGGAATAAAAGGGCGAAGGCGAATAATGGAAACTGGAATGGGAATAGGAATATGGGAATCAGAAATGAGAGGGATGGGCTGAATAATGGAGGAATGAGAGAAGAAAAGAGGGCAGGCAAAGGCACCATTAGTAGCCGGGAATGGGAACTTGCATCGCCCAGCAGGTCACCCTGCGGGCGATGCATTTTCTTGACGCCTGAGAAAGGAAAGTGGCAGTTCCCAAATATTCGCGAGTACTTTGGTTTTGGTTTAGCTTTTTCAAGATAATTTTTGTTGTCAGGATGCCTTGTTTTGTTTTGTTTGGAAAGGATGTGTACAGATATAATACTGCAAAATACAAATTCCAAAACAAGCAAAAATTGAACCAAAAAAAAACACGAAAGCTGTGCCTTTCTTCCACAGAAGAGGCAGAATTCCTCCCCCCATTTTTTTTTTCTTTGAGTTGCAGGAATTTAAGCACAGTCAATTTTTTGTTCAAACAAAGAAATCAAGTCCAAAAGGTAAAGTTTAGCATGTGAATTTTATTTTTTTTTGTGAGCAGAGTTTTAAGAATCCATCCCTGATCACTTGAGAATACACTAAAATGCAAAAAAAATGATTTGTTTGTTTAGGTAGAAAACTTTGATTCATTCTCCAAAAAATTCATTAACTCAATACATGATATAGATTTCTGAAAAAAAAAAATTTTAGTTACGTAGACAAATGTACACTCTCCATAATGATTAATGATCTTCTCTTAGCCAATGGATCTCAGGTGGCTCCTTTTTTTTGTGGCTCTTAATTAATAGAAAAAATATATGATTTTTTTTTTGGGAGACATGGGTTGATGAACCTTTTGCTTGTAAATTCCATCCGGGGAAAAAAAATTCTTGCCTGTACATAAACTAATGAACATAGAATTGCGTGTCCACGTGTAACACAACTGTTTATGTTCTGTTTGTTTGGATGGGAGTGTTTTTCAAAAACTAATTTTTCAAATACAATAAAAATTTTTAAAAAGTACTCTAAAAGATAATCTAAAAATTAGTTTAATTTTTTTTAAAATTTTTAAAAATATCTCAAAATATATTCTAGAAATTCTTCTACTATTAAATATCTCAAAATATTTTCTGAAAATATTCCAAAATATAATCTAAAAAACTCTGCTACAGCAAAATTTTTAAAAAAGAAAGAAAGAGCATAGTGCATTATATGGTAGGGTTGCCTCCTATTCTTTTATCGATTTCTTTAATGGGTGTCCATTAAACATTCGTTAAGATATGCTTCAAATATTAAATTTTTGAAAAAGTAAGATTTAATAGGTAAAATGTATAAGTGCAATGGTGGATAGTAATTATGAGTGTATGTGTGTGTGTATATCTATATATATATATATATGATCAATTAGATAAAATTTAGTATGTTAACGAAATGGACACCCCTTAGAAAAATCCTTCTTTTATGTTATGTTTTGATTCTTGGAGTTAATTTTCATATATTGCTAAGTTGTTGTCTCACTATTGTGACAGTAAGAATTAACTGGCCAATTTGCAACCAGAGAGAATAGGGAATAAGAGAATATGCCCCGTGTTGAAATTTGAAAGGTTCAACTTGGCCCTTGCCTTTGTATTCTATCCTAATAGCGGAATATATATGTGATTAGATATATCCTCCAATATACTCTATAGTAAATCGAGGGGAAGATAAAAGTAAGAGAAAATTTTTACATGGCGTCTCCAAACGTGAAAAAGGGTAAAGATTCAAATTGTTCTTTTTGTTTGTTACAACTTCTTTTTAGTTTAAAGTTACTTACCATTGTTCAAGAATATAGAACCAAAATAGTCTGTTTTTTCTTATGTTTAATTTTCAGTGTGCTTGCGCATGATATAATTTTCTCGTAATTCCTTGTTTCTTCACTTAAATTCATTGATAGAAATCCATTGAGCACAAGCAAATTTTACTATTTATAAGTAATATGCATGCCGCTTCTCTCAAAGTTGCGGGGATTTGGGGCAGAAACGGTTGCTTTCTGCAATCGTTCCGAAACGTTGATGGCCAAGATTTAACCAAAAAAAAAAATGTAAGATTCAGATTTCATTTTATACATCGTTTTTCACACTATGTGTAAGGTCTACAAAATTTTGTTTTATAGTTACACGTTTAATAAAATGAGTTACATCGTATGCAAACTGAGGTACATCATATGCAAAATACACAAAACCAAGTTCCTGTTGACTGTTCCTACCCCAAATCCAAGCTGCGAGGCTATGTTGTCATAGTTCCTTAAAAGAGAGTTGTCTATCAATTTTAGACAAAAATGCTGCAAATGATGAAATTTGAGGGGGTATTCAACATACTAGTGTTTCTGTCTTCTTCTTCTTTCTTTTTTTTTTTTTTTAAAATAAACTTCCCAATATTTCGTGACAGTATCAGGTACCAACTCCTAACTAGTCCGAAATCGAGCACTTTTGAAATCCGAAACCTTCGAACTTGAGACTTGGCTTTGAGGAAGGATCAAGTTTCTTACTACTTGACCTAACAACAGTCGATACTATTAGCCTTTTTGACACACTCTGCCTTCATGCTTAATTAAAAATGTATACGTTAATCGGTGAAAAGTTTGAAGAATTTGTTGCATCCAATGTCACGAGAAGAATGTGCAAAATTTATTTACTCCAAATCCAAAGTGTTTTGTCCAAGAATTCTTATCATAGTATTCTTTCCACACCCAAATCTCAACACCCCCATTAACCCCGTAATTAACATATTATAGAAAGACAACCTTTGTAGGTCCAAAGAATAATAGAGTATGGTCCAATTCATCCTCATCAGAGGAGACAATTCTGCAAGGAATCAAAGTCATTTGATGTAGTTGCCACCAACCAGACTTAGATTGCCCAGACCTGAATCCCAAGAAGTCCAATCCACATAGACAGCCATTATATAAACAGTAAAATCTCTCAAGAGATGACTAACAGGTTACCCAGAATTGTTTGTCAAACTAATAAATAAATCACAACAACTGAGCCCTTTTGATTCATGATATGAAACTTCCACAGCCTTATAATCCTCTCTCGAGGGATCAAAGTAAAACCCTACAAAAGGGCTGAACTGATGTAAGGCAGGGCTGGAGAGATACATGGAAGATGGTTCTTGTATGCAGCAATATTGCTTCCAAAAACATAAAACTTGATTGGATGATCCAACCATCTGAATCCATGTGCTTTTCGGCCAGCTTTAATCGCTGGGCTGAACTTGTAATATGCAACTTTTCAAACATGACAAGTTTTTAAGGACTCCTGGTAGACTTGTGGTGTTGCCGATGAGATTGGACGAAGCCATGACTTGAGAGATGAGGCCATGGCACAATTTACATACACGACACAAATCGAACGAGAGATTTAACTGGTAATCAACAGAAACTTCACAGATGATAACGTCCGGCAAGAAAGCGTCTGAATTTTCTGCAAACTCCATCACCAAGAAATTTTGAGATAATCGACTATATTGAAAGTACGTTAAATTCATGTTCTTGTAGGTTTCCTACCTGTTGCAAGAAAGCTGAACCAAGCAAAGTTATGATTCTCTTTCTATGGTTTTATTCACTATTCCTTTTTGTCCAATTTTCCTCTTCGATTTAGTTTTCTTTCTTCTAATTAGTTTTGTAATACAATGGCAATATTAGCACTCTTATCTTTTGTCAGTGAGACTATTTTGGCACTTGATTCCCTTTGTAATTAGTAATTTTGGGACTATATGGAAGAAGAAGAAGTTGAGGATTAGAATGAGAAATTTTGTCATGAATACCAATGAATTGAAACCAAGCTTTCCAATAAATAGTAGCTGTCTTTGACATATCAGATGAGGCTAAAATGTTATTCTCCAAACATTCCTTGCTTTGTTTTGTGCTCCGGATCATACAAAACCATCACAATCGTTCCTCTCAGCCAAAAACCTTCTACTTTGTTGTCATCACCACGGATTTAACTAGAAGATCGAAATTCTCCGAAATTGTAAACTTCTTTTTCTAACAATTCTCTTCATATTATCAAAAGGCAATAGAAAAAAAAAAATTATCAGCACCCCACTAGGCACTGTTGTTTTGTAACCGATTATTAAAAAAAAAAGACATCCATGATCAATATTAAGTGTTCTTGAATTTCTTGTTTGGACTCATCGTATATTCGTATGTCTGACTGCAGGCGGAAAAATGGCATGCAAGTCTAGTCCAATATTGTCATGAGCACTTAGAAATAGAATTCATGTGTAAGTTACGGACATTCAAACACCAATCCGTTATCGTCCAGCGGTTAGGATATCTGGCTTTCACCCAGGAGACCCGGGTTCGATTCCCGGCAACGGAATTAAGTTTTTTGTTTTGTCCTGCCACCTAATGGTCCTAATCCAAAAAGGAACCTGCTTTTCCTCTCCACAGTCATATTATTTTATTTCTCACCAGATTCGATTCCCGGCAACAGAATTAAGTTTTCTTGTTTTGTCCTGCCACCTAATGGTCCTAATCCAAAAAGGAAAAGAGATGGAAAAAGCCTCTGCTTTTCCTCTCCATAGTCATATTATTTTATTTCTCACCAGAACAACAGGCAACCAGCTAAATGCTCTGTCTATTAATCATGATTAAAGCAAATGATGTACCAATACTCACAAATGATAATACTGCAGTAAGATACAGCAAATGATATAGCAATGCTCCGTCTACACTGTTTTACCTGTGAAGAACATGACGGAATGCAATCGATTGTGCTGTTGGAGCATGCATTGGCATACTTATCTCCTGCCCTACATCAGATCTTAAAAAAAAAACAAGAGGACCTATACCTACCCTGATATCTTTTTGTTTTTGTTTTCTTAGACCAAAGTAATAATACTAGGACAGAATCGATAGATAGCAAGTCAGGTACCAACTTGCATTTTCTCCTGGACAAACAAGTCCTACAGGTGCCTACTTCAAGATCAACATGACCAACTTGTGGATTCAAGCTCAAATCCAGGAGTCTTCGCTAGGATTGTAAACGACTCGACTCGAATTGAATTTTGACTTAATCGAGTTGAGTTTCGATTTAATTTTATCAAACTCGAACTCGATGATCTCTCAGTGTAAAGTTCGAATTCGAATTTGATCTCAAATTGGAGACGAGTCGAGATTAAAAAAATAAAAAATAATTATTTTTATTTTTTTTAAAAATGAATAAAATATAATGTTCTTAATAACTGATAAAATATTATGGATATAATTTTATTATTAAAATAAATAAATATAAAATCGAGTC